CTCAATTCGAGTCTATGTTTTCGTTTAAAATATGGCGATCGCGTGCTAACAAACTTCAAAGGCGGCATCTGAGAGTGGGCATTCTGATTGTTTTATTCTGTAAAATAATTTCGGCAGTTCTAAGCAAAATTTTATTATTGATTACTCCAAAATATTATGCACTCAATTATACTATTAAATAATTATATACTCATATACATATTAATAAAAAGATTATAATAGCACAGATAATGATTGTTTATTATTCTGTGGTAATAGATAAATTTCATATTTAAAAACTAATATCATTGATTATGCAGCGGCGGCCAGCCAGGTGAAGTAGGTGAAGGTGAGGTTCACCAAAAAAATATAATTAAATTGAGACAAATCAATAAAAAATAAAAACAACATTATTATATCTAAATTCTGAAATCAATTATTTATTCTCTTTTAAGTAATCTAAAAATTAAAAAAGACAGATAGCTTTATTAGCGGTGCGGTAGGTACTTGACGGTCAAGTCCTGACCTGTGTCACGTGCTGTATATAATTCACATTCAGGAATAGGTGAATATCATTTTTGAAATGCGAAATCCATCTGCATAAGCGTTCACGGTTGCCATGGCTACATGACGTCAGCCTGTCACTAGTGATATTTGAGAAAAATAGCTGGTGCAGTTCCGTTAAAAATTTATTATCCGTCTTCACCCACTGATCACTAGTTGCATGGGTACCAATTTAGTATGCGCAGCGACAATATTTTAAAATTTAGTCTATTATATAGACATTTTTTGTATAGTATAGTGCAACAGTCGGCAACAGGCGGACCGCGGTCCGAATCCGGACCAAGAAAGGTTGAACTGCGGACCGAACTGTGTCTGAACTTAATGCTAGACTTAAAGAAGTCATGGACAGTTTAGTGAAGTTGATTAATTTTATGAGATCTCATTCTCCTCTTCAGCACCGACATTTCAAGGAGTTTCTTTCTGAATGTGATTAAGCATATTCTGACTTACTACAATACAATAAAGCTCGTTGGTTAAGTAAAGATCAAGTTATTGAACGTTTCTGGCTAATAAAAGAATAGGCGATCTCCTTCCCACAAAATACAGATACACAGGCAGCCAGGGCATATTTATAGTATATAACAAACAGGCGCAACATGCTGGTTGTGGCTTTTCTAAAAGATATTTTAAAATAATTGAATGCGCTTAACACAGAGTTACAAGGAAATTGAAATGTAATCTGATCAAAGCGTGTCTGCTTTTCGTCGTAAGGTGGATATCTTTGAAAAGGATATTGCACAATAAGAATTCATTCATTTTCAACTATTCTTGAATATAATAAAAATAAGGAGTACTCCGAAAAAGACATTGCAGTGTTCGTAAAATTTCTGGGCGATTTTAGGAGCGAATTTGCTTCAAGACTCCAAGACTTTGCACAGGTAAGCAAACTATCTTTATTTCTAAAATCACCATTTGAAGTTGTACAGAATGGACATATGTGGCTGCTAAGCTGTTTAATCTGTCAAAAGCATTACTTCAAATGGAGATTATTGAATTACAAGAAGATTTGTCCTTGCACGTTTATAAATCGGTATTCGCCGAAGAATTTTGGGTCAAACATGTGCCAGCAAAATATGAAAATTGCAGACAACTTGCAATCAATTTGACCACTATGTTTGACGCATGTGCGAAACGTCTTTCTCAAAAATGATTTTTTTTTGGAAATTAAATATCGCTCCCGATTAATGGACGCCCACCTTGAAAATACACTTCGAATTTGTTGTTCTACTCGAGAACCAGACCACAAACAACTAGCCCAAGACCGTTGGTGCAATTTTTCGTATTAATTTAAGTTCTTTTGTTTTATTATTAAGAATGTACCAAAATAATAAACATCTTAATTACTATTAAACTGGGAATAAGCCACAATTAAAGATAAAAATACGTTTATTGACGTTTCAATTTCCACTTCGGAAATCGTTCTCAAAATACAAACAGTAAATTAAACAAATTTTGTTTTTTGTTACATAGTGAAAAATTCTTCTAATAATTTAATTTTATCTGACTCATTTATATTGACAATTCAGACATACATTATGCATTTTAAAGTAGACGACTTTAAAATGATATTGCCAATATTGTTGAGTTGCGCTCCTGGGACGACTTTACTTATAAGATAGTTCATTCGATTACATGAAATCAACTTTAACTTGAGAATATCCGTCAGAAAAAAATCATAGCATATAATTCGTCTTTAAAAAGACAAACACATGACATGATGACAGTAAAATTCTCCTGTTAGTGATTCCATAGTAAATTATGAGGGAAAAACCAGGAAAAAAACCTCATAATACTATCCCGACATTGTAAGTATTTGGTCGTGAATCTAGTTTACCTTCAACAAACATCAAAATTCTGATTTTATATCTTACGGTATTTAAAAAACATAAATGATGTATCCTCTATATGTTACTGACTTACTAATATTGGTATTTTCTTATTAATAACTTCCTCTTTCAATATTGGTAACCAGATCCTACTACATTCTGCCGAGGAATTTGCGACACAATTGGCCTCATTTAGCATAATTAGAGCCGCTTCTTTGATTTTTCTTTTTTTACCGTCCGTTTCTTTTAGGACTACATTTGAATTATTCCATTGAACCCTATGTTCATTATCCCATGCCGTGTTTACAGATTTGAGATCTATCAAATTCTCTATTTTTAATATAAGATTGATGTTCACTTATTCTAACATTTAATGGCCTTGATGATTCACCTAAATAAAACTGATCGCATTCACAAGGTATTTTATAAATGTAATTCTTTGTCCTTTCTTGTTCATTGTTAGGTTTGGTTTTGGACAAAATAGATCTCAACGTGTTTGTTGTTTTGAATGTTGTTGAAATGTTGAATTTATTTCCTACCCTTTTAAGTTTTTCTGATAATCCTTTTATGTACGGTATTGTTATTTTCCTCATATTATTCCTTGTGTATGCTGTAGGATCTCGTTCCAAGTTGTTCTGTTCTATTCGATCGATTGTTGAAAATTCCTTATTTATAAACGATAAAGGATAATCATTTTTTAATAAAACAGAAGTTAACAAATGTTTCTCCTCCAAGAACGAATTTTCGTCAGAACAAGTAATTTTGGCTCTATCGTATAAGGATTTAATTATTCCCTTTTTTACATTAATATTGTGATTTGATTTGAAATTTAAATATCTATTGGTGTGTGTTGGTTTTCTATACACCTGAGTCTCATATCCAGTATCGTTCTTAGAGATTAAAACATCCAGGAAAGGTAGAGTGTTATTATACTCCTTTTCCATGGCGAATGTTATCGTCTCTTCTTTATCGTTTATATCATTTAGGAATGTGTCCAACAACTCTGATCCATGAGGCCATATTGAGAATACATCATCTACATACCTCCACCATACTGTGGGTTTGAAATTTTGTTTAGAAATGATATTTGTTTCAAAATCTTCCATAAATATATCGGCTAAGAATGGAGATAAACTAGAGCCCATTGCTAGACCAAAATTTTGTTTATAGAATTCATTATTTAGTTGAAAATATGTATTATCAGTACATAATGTTAATAACTCCATTATAGCCGATATGTTTAGTATTGTTCTAGTTGCCAATGAATCATCACTCTCTAATTTTGTCTTGACTATACTTAAAGTCTTATTTAATGGCACATTCGTAAATAAACTATTTATGTCAAAACTTACCAAAGTATGATTTGAGTTAAATTCAATATTTGATAATTTATTTAAAAAATGTTGTGTATTTTTTATGAATGTGTCATTTTTATTTGTAAATGGTTTTAAAATATTTATTTATTATCAATAAACGTATTTTTATCTTTATAGTAGTATAAAGTATACTACTTTATACTACTATACTATAAACTATACTAGATAAATACTTTAGCTAGTATAGTTTATAGTATAGTATTTATTAGTTAAGTTTTTATATAACTATACATTTTTTTAAAGAATTTTTAATGAGATTTGGGCGCGACGTAGGTACCAAAACTCCTTTTGGCTCCGGCAAGATTTCCTCATCTTCACCACTTTTTTAGGCCACGAGCCGCCGCTATGATTATGATTGACGAATGTATTACCACAGAATGATAAACAATCAGAATGCCCACTCTGCTTGAAAAAATAAGTACGCGCATCTCGTTCGCGCAGAAGGAATAAGCCATGTTTTAGTCGGAACCAGTGCTGTTCGGTGGCTCTTTATCTGGTGCGCATAGAAAAATTAACCCGGTTTAATTTATTCACGACAACTATATACATAATCTGCACTATTTTATTCGTAATTTTAGTTGAAGAATAGATTAAATTATTTCAAATGTACTAAATTAATAATCTCTAAAAATTTAAACTACAGTTCTGTCGTAGCTTGACACAAATTTCTCAATTTGAGTCTATGTTTCCGTCTAAAATATGGCGATCGCGTACTAACCAACTTCAAAGGCGGCATCCGAGAGTGGGCATTCTGATTGTTATTTATTCTGTGACATAACATCAACGCTGTTAAACTATTTCAAGTACGTAGAACATTACGTAAAACAAACAAAACAGCTTACATGATATTTACAAAACATACTAACAACTTTCATTAACCTTACGATGACAAATATCGTGAACAGAATTCACAAAACGATATTCATTAACTGTCATTAAGCAATAACTGCTCAGGACATAAAATAGCTCTAAAATCACGAAATACAACTATTTAATGCAATAATAACTGTGATTTTTGAATTAAAGATTACAAACTTCACGTCAAAGACCTTCGAAGGTCAATTTGAGGTCACAGCATTTTAAGAGGTCATTCACAAAATTGCACAAACTCGGAACACTGTCTTTCGAGTTTGAATGAAAATCTGTACCCTTCACCGACGAGTTATGTTTTGGAAGATATTTTAATCAATGTTACTTTAAGATCCACCCAGTGTTGTAGTACTACATGATGATGTTTTTTTTTATTATTATATTTAATAATATTAATCTCTTAATAAAACGAAGAGATGTGTCTATTTAAGATCCTACATCCTATGTTTGTGTATTAATCTTTCCGAATCTTTTTAAAATCATTGCCAACTTGTTGACAAACCTACCTTCAGTTTTTGCATAACATTCATTCACAATTTGACAAAGAAAATATTTATGCATAAAATAAATAAGAAAAACCATAAGCGACAAAGAAATCACGATCAAATCCTCACATCCATTATTACCGATTGAAAATTTTGTATATTAGAAAGAAAATTATAAACACATAATTAAACCTAGAAAATACAAAACAAATACGATTTAAAAATATCACTGCTTGGATATAGCTTTTAATCCAATTCTTTGTCTCAATTTGTCGACTGTAAGGACTACGCAGTTGACACGGTCCCCTATTTGCAAATCCAAGCCATTCATTTTACTAGAATGAATTAAGGCATCCTGTGAAATTCCTAAAACAGATAATAAACTTGAGTATATGTATTTTGTGGAAACAACTTTTGTTATTTATATAGTTAGTCCACATCAATCATGTAGGGTTATTCATGTGATTACATACACAAGGCTTGTAGTTTTATTACATTAAATAGTTTTTTCAAATTGTATATCTTAAATAATTTAACATTATTGAAATATCAAGATCAAAATTACCAGAATCTTTCTTGTAATATTATGTTTAAGAACATATGATTTAAACAATGTTTTTTTCTAAGTTTTATTTGTTTAAAACATAAAATAAAAAAAAATGTTTAAAACAAAAAAAAAACGTTTAAAATACAAAAAACATGTGTCCCTACTAAAAAAAAAAATAAATTTAATAATCAACATGCTAAAAGGAATACTCAATTTTCAGCAATATTAATTTTACAAACTCAAAACCATACTTTAACTCCTTAATAAAAAAACTCTTATATAAACCTTCTTATAAACTACTATATTACAATTCTTTACCTCAAATCACATCAAACAAATATTCCATTAAAACAAAAAAAAACAAAACTAAAACTAAATTTACAACTATTAAATACACTCAAAATAAACTTTAACCATACTATACAACCACAAAAATAAATCCAACTAAACACAAATACTCCTGTACAACCTTCCTTAATCTTAAAACTAATAAAATAACCAAAATAATTAGTATACACTAAAACACTCACATACAAATATAACCATATCATACAAACAATTCCCCATAAATATTATAAATCAATTAAAATACTATCACAATTTAGAAAATTTAAATTACTCTCTAATCAACATATAATACTCTACACTACTAATTCTCTACTCATTCAAACAAAACATAAAATCTTTAACACACTTCAAAAAATAACACATACTAACAACCAAATTTCCCACGAACAAACTAAACTAACATACCTATGTTCCATACTACCTATTTTTCCAAACCATCATAAAAATACTTTAAACCCATACAAAATTCCCAAACCCAATAAACAACACTCCAAACACACCACATAACACAATTAATAAAATCTAATCACAAATAAACAATAAATTTTAATCCACTACATCTACCATTAACCATAACATAAAAAAAACATTTAAAACTTCTTCACAAAAAAAAAAAGCTTATTTCTAATCACAAACTCTTATAAAACTTCTCCCTATTAATTACTACTTCTTCTCACAAATATCTCATAACCATATATATATTTTATCATTAAAATCCCAACTAGAGACTCAAAAAACAAAGAGTTATCAGTCAAATCCCAACACACATAGATTGTCCAAATACCATCTCCCGACTCATTATATACTAGAGTGTCAATGTGTTACACCCAACGCAACTAATTATCTCATGTCATCATCTAAACTACCACGATACGCACCAGACTTACGTTGTGCCCTAATCACATGCCCGTAATAATAGTCCCCTACCCTGTACATATGTAGTACAACAATAAGTCCCAAACTACCACTAAGAGATTGACTCGCTATACCTAGTATCTTGCTATAATACACACTCACACAATAAACAATCAGTGCCTGTCTCTCCCATGCACCTCACCACTCCCCCCCCAGTCTGACCACTGCGAATCACAAGCCCCTTCACAGATCTCATAAATTGTAATATGTCACAATGACAGATGCAAGACGTTAGCCATCCTACCATCACCCTTAACGACATTTAATAAGATATAATATGATGCTTTATCTGTATAGTTCAACAGTACAGAAGAAATGCTCTGTACCATAAAACAATTAAATGAATCCCCTGTAACACCCACTCTCTGTTGCTACACCACCCTCATAAACACAACATTCAATCTCTAAACACTTCCTTTCTCACATTATAACTTTAAAATCCTAAACTCCTAGACGCACTAAATAAGTCTTTGATCTCCCTATAAAACTCCAATCCTTGACTATCGTCTTGTGACCCTACTGACCACTGCTAACCTTCTCATTTCAGAAATATCTCTATAAATACAATTACGCCTGATTACTAGTATAAGAAACGTGTGTAGTATAACTTCCCAATAAACTAAGTCAGAGACGACCATGACAAGAGTGCATAACCAGATTACTACCTTTTGTCTAATTATCCAATTTGTTATTCGACAACTACCCATATATAGACCATCTATTGATCACATCCGCTGTATTCTAATAAGAGATGGTATTAATTGTTCAAAGTAGTGATTAGAAAAACACTCAGTTAACAAAGAAACTGATGATATGAAAAAATGTATAGTTTCTGTGAAGAATGCGAACGATTTTGCTGAGTAATATCTCCTTGTGCCGATTGCGCCAAAGAGTATTTTTGTTTATAATAGTGATGAGTACTTGTCCGATATAGACCCCGAATAAGAGATAGACATTGATATGGTTTATGAGCCTCATCTCAAATTAATATGTAGAATTGACGCAAGTAGCGCATGTCTACTTTAGATCCGATATAATGCGTGTTTGACTCGACAGCTCCATGCATATGCATGTATATCTATAGTATCACATTATCAAGGCTACTGGGACTCGTCTTTCTATCTGGAAAATGAACAACGTAAAACACAAATGAAATCAAATAATATTTCGCAACATGGTCAATATGACTCACCCAGGATAATTCCTGGTTCCGCAGCACGCCCACCAGCACTTCCACTGTCGTACAAATAACGTCACACAAAATCCAGATAGCCCACCAAATGCTTCTGAATGGCAAAACAAACAATCGTTGCAAAACGCCAAATATTATAAGAACTCAAGACCAGGAAACAACTCTCTTACGAAAGCCATTTACCATCGAAGAGCTCAAAAATGGTATTGACTGTATGAAAAATGGAAAATCACCTGGGGTGGATGAAATCCTAACAGAGCAGATAAAACATCTCGGGCAAAAAGCGAGACAATGGGTGATCGATCTATTTAACATCTGTCGCTCTACCTACCAGATTCCTAAACTGTGGCGCAAATCAAAAGTAATAGCCCTTCTGAAACCTTGCAAAGACCCTGAACTACCGAGTAGCTACCGTCCGATATCTCTGCTATGCCATTTGTATAAATTGTATGAACGCCTCATTTTGAACCGCATCCAAGAAACATTAGATGCAAAACTAATCCCACAACAAGCAGGCTTTGGACCAGATAAATTATGCACAGACCAACTGCTGAACCTAACAGAATACATAGAGGAGGTATTTGAAAAGAAAGAGATAGTACGAGTAGCCTTGATAGACTTCACAGCGGCCTATGATACGATAAACCACAGAACCTTGCTAACTAAGATCTGTAACACTGTGCTTGACTATGACCTGGTAAATATCATTAGATCACTGTTGTGTAATGCAATAGACGCTTCTACGTTGTGCTAAATGGAAAGAAGAGTAGATGGAGAACCCAAAAAAAGGCCTACCTCAAGAAAGCGTTCTGGCGCCGTCCTTATTTAACATCTACACCAACGACCAACCAATGCACCCTCAGACTGAGAGTTTTGTTTACGCTGACGACCTTGGTATAGCCGTAAAGGGGAAAACACTCACACAAGTAGAGTCGACAATGGAAGATGCTTTAAACATGATGTCAACTTACTACAAACAAAACTAATTAAAGCCAAACCCTACTAAAACCCAAGTATGTGCATTCCATCTCAACAACCAACTGGCGCATGTAAAACTGAATGTTTCTTGGGAAGGACAACGCTTGAAACATACTGACAGGCCCAAATATCTTGGCGTGATACTAGACCGGTCACTAACGTATAAATTCCACTGTCAGAGCACAAGACAAAAAGTCTCTACCAGAAACCACCTTCTCCGGAAACTTGTAGGGAGCAAGTGGGGTGCAAACCCCCAGGTCTTGAAGTCAACAGCTGATGCCTTATGTTTCTCAACAGTGAAATATGCTTGTCCCGTCTGGGGTAGATCTAGACACGCCCAACAAGTCACCACGGCGTTAAATGAAACATGTAGAATCATTACCGGTTGTATGAAGCCTACCCCTCTACACCTACTGTACCGGGTAGCCGGATTCGCATCACCAGACGACCGTATATGTGCCTCACAATATGTGGATAAGTTCAGGCAAACTTTCGATAAACGCCACCAATTATACGGGTTTGACGAACCGCCAGGAATCAGCCGACTTAAATCAAGGAAAAGGTTTATGAGAAATGTCAGCGTTGAACCACCCGAAGTGTCCCCCCTACATCCAGAACGACCTAATGGAATGAACCTGGACTGGAGAACCTGGCGGACACTCAACCGCATGCGCACAGGTGTTGCCCCTATAATACAGAACCTCATTAAATGGGGCATCAAGACAGATAGCGAGGCACTCTGTGAATGTGGGGAAATACAGAACGTGGAGCACCTGAGAGTATGCAGACTTTGCCCATCACAGTGCACTCTCGATGATTTATGGCTCGCAAATACAAAGGCTGTAGACGTAGCCCGATATTGGGCAGAAAAACTGTAGTCGGATCCAGACTCGAAAAAGTCAAAGTAAAGTAAGGTCCAATAAAATAATGCATTTACGCGTCCTATTTATAAAAAATCTCTAAGCGGGGATAAAAGTATTTTGAAGTATATTCGCTTTGATAATTTGGATACGAGAGCAGAAAGAAGAGAACGAGATAAATTAGCTCCTATTCGAGAAATCGCTGATCTATTTGCCCAAAATTGTAAGGAAGCCAACCATATGCTTTTGGTACTATCGACGAGCAGCATATAGATTTTAGGGAACTTTGTCCATTTCTGATTTATATACCTAGTAAACCAAAGAAATACGGTATAAACGCTTGGACCCTATATGACGCTGAAAATTTTTTATTGCTGTAACTTTGAGATATATACTGAACAAATTGGTGATCAATCTAAACGTAATCAACGCCCAAGAGTTGTCAAAACACTTTCACAGCATTGGTATAGGTCTGGTCGAAATATTACAACTGATAATTTTTTTACCGACATTGCTTCATCTGAAGAACTCTTATCCAAAAATTTAACTCATAACTTGAAATGACAGATCGCTCACTGTATTCTTCAAAATGTTGGTTCACAACATTACTTTTATATTACAACAAAACCAAAAGTGGAGTTGATATTATAGATAAATTGATCCGAGAGTACACATGTAAAAGAGCAACAAGAAGATAGCCCTTACGTACATTTTTTACCTTTTTGGAAATTCCATGCTACAATGCTTTCGTTCTATGGAATATGAAAAATCCGGAATAGAACACCCAGGTAAACATAAAACATCGCAGAGAACTATTTCTGAAGGAGCTTGAAAAACAATTAACCTTACCCAATATAAAAAAGAACTGAAGCAATACAAGAAAAAATCACCGGGTACGATAAATCCGTAATCGCTGCAATAGAGACCACCGGTGTTAGTGTAAAAATGCAAATAGAAATACCGCAATCTGCAACAAAAGGATGTCGTTTTTATACTTGTAGGGGTAGTGACAATTAATATTCAAATAGGTGTGACATGTGTAAAAGATTTGTTTGTAGTACTCATTCAAAAAGCGAAGAAGTCCATATTGTCAAAATTAAATGCAACTACTGCCAAAAAGACCAGGATGGTGAACCAGCTTTAAAATTTAAATACAATAACTTAAGATTATAATTTTTATGTTACTTTTTGTTGAATTAAAGATATTGTTTAATAATACTGACTATTTAAAACATCCTTCTAAATAAAATGAGAATGAGTCACACTTGACCCATCATCGTAATCTAAGTAAGTGAAATAATCTCCGTACTCCGCAGGTTGATGTATGTATTAAGGCTGTTTTATCGGTGCACCAAAACCTAGGGACTGTTATTTATCGACAAAATGTCTCGAAATTTGGACACAATATTCGAAATTATGTTGCTTTTAAAATGATAGTTTCACTTTTTTTTGAAACTTCTGTTGAAAAATTGGATTATTCTGTTTAACGTTCTATTATAACCAAACTTTTTACGCCCATCACTTGAAAGAGTTTTTTTTTCTGTAATCGTTGATTTTTTTTCACCTTTCTGTGTCCAGTAATAATCGAGAAAAGCGTGTTCCAACTTTGAAGAAAATTGCTAAAAAATACTAAAATCTAATAGTGAAACGTATTACTCATCATTGTCGCTTAGTTTCACCGTTATCGCCTACGTGACGTTAAATCTCATGAACGTACGGTCATTTAGTTCGTGTTAAAACTAATTTGAATGGAGAGTAATGCATTTATTGTCATTAAACTACCCGTCGGCTGCGCCACTGAGTAAAGATAGTCTCGCGTAAGCAGTGCAAAAAAGTAAGTGATACGCCCATTTCAAATCGCAGTGTGCTTGAACTGCTAAAACAGCCTTAATATAAATTATCCGCAAGAAAAAAATGCAGCTTTTTAAGTCTTGTCTAGACGACTCAGAAAATAAATCGGTATATAGGATTCAACGTAGGAAAGTATCACAGCTTAAGCATAGAGAGATGGATGAACAACGAATACCAAAAAAAAAAATACATAAAATGGCAACCAGAACAAGTTGGAAAGAAGGCATAGATAAGATGGTGAGAGAAAGAAACATAGATGGAGACATATGATGGCGAAAGACCGGGCGAAGTGGCGCTTGCAAGTCGGAAAACGTCGGAGAACCTTATAACCGACATATAGTAATAGTATTTTTAAAATTTAAACATACCAGGTAATAGTATTCTGCTCTAAACAGATGACACATTGACGAATTCGTGTACCCTCTGATGATAAAACATCAGCTGGACCCTGGTCTACCTGGCCTTTCGGCATACGACCGTTAGCTAGTCCGACACCATTTGAGGGTGGCGCGTTGCATGAAGCATCGCGGAGCTCCACCCTCCCCGTAGTACCTGTTGCGGTACGCACACCCGCCGTTATTCCCCCGGGGCGGAAAGGCGAACGTAGGTCAAGGCACGAAGTCGCATGTTTGACAGGTCGCCGCCGAGGAGCTCTCCTCTACCACTCTCAAGTCTCCCAAGGTCAGTAGGTCCCAAGGTCCCAGGGACGTAGCACGTTCAACCTCACCTTGGTTCTGTGGAATGAGAGTAGAGTGTTCTCTCGAGAGGCTCGTTTTGGATACTAGGAGTGTAGACCGGTGACTGTAACGCCGAAGCGCCCTGCGTGGTTTTCTAAAAACCCGACACCTCAAACGACGGCACTCCACCTCTTCATTCATTTCCTTAGTCGCCTCTTACGACAGGAAGGGATACTTGCCCTGGCTGTATTCTTATCTCAGCGAGCCAGACGGAGAGCAGATGACACAGCCCTGAATTAAAAAGGAAGAAATATGATCAGAGTACATTCAACTTTGAACAGCAGAAAATTTACAAAAAAAGGATAAAGATAAAAAAGGATAAGGATATGCTTTAGCTAGTATTACCGTGTAGACCAGAACTGTAGGTTATACACAAAATATACGACAAAAACTTCTGCAAACGAAATTGGTGTGTGTGTGTGTGTGTGTGTGTGTGTGTGTTGTATATATTTTAAATCCTATTTAAATGTACAATTTACTACCAATTTATAAATACATACCTATATCGACAAAGCAACCGAAGTGCGTAACATTTTTCACTCTTCCCACCATCTTGTCACCCACAGAAACATCGTCAAAGTCTTTGAGTTCGACAGCGAAAAACGTATTCTGTGATTCTGTTCTAAAGTCGTAGTTCAACGGTTTTTCCAAGGCATCAATTATAAGGTTAAGAGTTTCCACATTCGTATCCAGCTTCTCGCAAACTTCAGGTAACTCACTCTTAATAGTCTGGACCCCTTGTATTAACGTTTCCTCGCCGATTTGATCTTCATTTAATTTTAGAGACTTCAGAAGTTTTTTCGTAAGATCATATGATTCCGGATGAATAATGGTTTGGTCCAATTTTGTAGTTTTGTAGCTCTTACTAAGTTTGGAAGGAGATGCTGCGTTAGTTGGTACAATCCTCAAAAAACCCGCGCATTGTTCAAATGCCTTTGGACCGATACCAGGTACTTTCAGAAGCTGGTCGCGACAAATAAATGCGCCGTTTTTCTCTCTAAACTTAATGATTTCTGTGGCTCTTTTGTCTGTTATTCCTGCTATACGCCTAAAATCAGGAAAAGTCAATTAATTAACACAGATCATAAATAAAATATCTCATCTAATACATATCATAGAAGTACTCTTATGCTGTATATGCATGTGTGGTTGTGAATACGTATATTTGTAGACGTATACCGAGTGAAGGATCGTCAAACGGGTCATAGTAAACTCAATGGGAAATTCTAAACTACTGAATTCATGCATTCCTAATTATTTTATATTAGAAGTCATGAAAAACTATTTTTAAAGGACTGAGAGCTGTCAAATCAAATGTTTAAATTGTTCTACGAATTAAACACATTCAAAAATTTTGTAAAAATATAATACATTCGCCAGAATATTAGTCTAAAAGTGCACATACTACGAAACCATCTTCAATTCCTTTTATTCCAGAAATTTTACAACCGACTAGTGAAATCAAAATAACTACAATTTCCGATGAGAACATTTCCACTAAAATTTCAACTGTAAAACCACTGGAACAAAAAGACCCACAAACTTCATTGGAAATCACAAAAGATTCACCCTGTTCTGGGAAAAGAAGCTTTGACGAAACATTATCTCCCCCTATCGAAAATCTAAATTCAAATACCCAATTATTTATTTCCCCATTCATATCTCACAAATTCAAAACCTAGAAACCAAAAAAATCCAAATGCACAGCACCAACCTCTGATTCTCTTAAATTATTCATGAATGAAAACTCTACATCACTTTTATTAAACCGCTGACTTACTTATAATCAAGGCTTGGTCAGACTCCAAATTACTTAGCTTTAACGTTAATAAGACTGTAGCATTATCTTATAAAGGAGTCATGCAACCCTTGCTTTTGAATGAGAGCCAAATCAATATCGTAAATTCCGTGAAATTTCTAGGTATTCTCATTGACAGTAATCTCAAATGGTCCTTGCATACTGACTCCTTAAGGAAGAAACTAGCCTCAGCTTGCTTTGCAATAAGATCTGTTTCGAAGGAACTAAATTTATCTTCTGCCAAAATGGCATATTTCTCATTGTTCGAGTCCCATCTTCGATATGGGCTTCCATTTTGGGGTTCTAGTACAGCGGCCCTATTTGATACTATTTTTAAGTTGCAAAAAAGAGCAATCCGTTATCTATTTGGTCTCAAACAAACAACTCATTGCAAGACCTACTTCAAAAATCACGGAATTTTGACGCTTCCCTCTTTATTTATTTTGGAAACGGTTTGTTTGATTCGAAAGCATCTAAACATTTTTCCCGATAGACCTGACCATGGCTACTCCATTAGAAATTCGGATTGTAACGTTTATTTGCCGATCCCGTCCACTCAGCTAGTAAAGAATTCTATTCTATATCGTGCAAAGAAACTTTATAATCACCCTCAAGAGAAATTAAATCCGCAACATCCTTCATTAAGTTTCGTAAGGTGACAAAAATCTATCTCTCAGAAAGACCATATTATTCAGTTGACGAGTTTCTTAATGTATAACAAAGAAACAAAATTAGTATTGTTTATAATTACATTTGGGTGTCTCAAGCAGTGGCTAAAATTTGTCTCATTTGTTGTTGTCTGTACAAATTATGTAGGTTATACAATAATTTTACTAATTTAAAAATTGTGCTATTCTGTTTTTTACTATATTTGTTTTTGTTTTATACTTTTTGTACTATTTGACTGATTTATTTTTTAGCTTTGTCCATAAAATTGTTCAATAATTTTCAGTGACAATAAAGCATATTTCTATTCTATTCTATTCTAAACTATGATCAACTCATGATTGAAAATATCCAAGGCAGACAATCAATCACCTATAGAAATTGTCAAGGAATATACATCCTATTTTCTTGATCTAATAAATCTTTTAACCTTATCTTACCTATACATATCCGACAAAACTACGAAACATCGTTTCACTAGTCTTAAAACTAAATTGCAACACTACCTAGCTAACGTTATTACAGTCAGTGAATTATCCTCCCTCGATGCACAATTTTCAACTCTACAGTGGGATATTGATGGACTATTCCGTCGCCTCCTATGTTACAAATCATTTAATCAGAATACTCCCCAGAAATAATATGCCTACATGAAACTAACCTTACTCCTTCTTTACTTTACTTTATCGTGTCCGGACATGTCATTCATAAAATTTCGGCCCAGTATCGGGCTACGTCGGTTCCATCTTTGTTGGCGAGCCACAAATCTTCAAGGATACATCGATGAGGACAGTTTCTGCATGTAAGAAGATGTTCCATATTCTGTGTTTCTCCACAGTCACAGTTCACATCATCTTGGTCTATTTTTCCCCATTTTGCCATGTTTGATTTTACTGTAGCAACCCCCGTTCTTATCCTATTCAAGGTTTTCCACGTTTTAAATTCTAGGGTCTGGCCGGTCCATTGAACCTGGGGAAGTGGAAAATACTCAGGCGGTTCATCCTGCACTGTTCCAAGGAAGCTTTTCCTAAATTTTGGTCGCTTTCGTGGTGTTCGAGCTTTGTATAGGGCATGCCGATCGTCCGCGAGCTGTTTAATTTTCTCTATGTGTTCTGCAGCGCCTCTGCGTGTTGAGGGTTCTGCAAAACCCGCTGCTCTATATAGATTTGAAAGTGTCGTTAGTTTCATGCACCCCGTTACTATCCTGCATGTCTCATTTAGCGCAGTATCAACTTGTTTGGTGTGAGCAGATCTGTTCCAAACGGGGCACGCGTATTCAGCAGTTGAGAAACACAGTGCCTGTGCCGTTGTTCTTAAAACGCCAGGACGTGCGCCCCATTTAGTTCCAGTTAGCTTTCTGAGTATGCTGTTCCCAGTTGTTACTTTTCCTCTTGTTTTTATGCAATGTTTTCTGTAGGTGAAGGAGGCACACTACGCCTAATTTTCGGTGACCTGAATATCCATTATACAATTTGGGGCTCACAAAATATAAATTTAAGGGGTCAAATATTAGAAAACATTATCACAGATTTTCATCTAAACTTTTTAAATGATGGCAACCCTACTAGATTTAATATATCGACATTGCCTTTTACATATGAAAGTGATCATAGTAATTACGAATCTCAACCATGTGCAGAAACATCAAGAATTTAGTCTAAAGTGGAAAACTAACAATGCAGATTGGAATTCACTTTCTTAATATATTGACAGTCACATATCTAAGGACTGAAATAATTAATGATATTGACGAGACCATTAAATCACTCAATGACATAATTTTAAAAGGTACTATATTGTACATTGGTAAAACAAAACAAATACAAGGACGCACACCAATACCGTGGTAGTCTAAAGAATGCGAAGAGGTCATAAAAAATAGTAAATCTGCTGTTAATAATTATGATGAAGATGAAGATATTCCATTCTAGCGGATCTTTACGAAAGCCTCTCAAACGACAAAAACCCACGTGCAGATTCTTCAAATTCTTCATCTGATACATATACTCTTCCTAATAATGAAAATCCTAACGTATCAATTAATAATGCATTACATTTCAAGAACTTAAGCACTTTCAAGCCTTAAAGATTCTTGTCCTGGACCCGATGATATCCCAACCATATTTCTTCTTCCCAACATCTTCTGGACTCAGCCAATTGTAATTTACTTGACATATACGTAATTCCTACGTCCTACTTCTTTTAAAAGACAAAAAATCACTTTATGGTGTAGAAGTATACAGGTCAAAATCTCAATTACTTGTTCCATGTGCCAGCAGTAGATTAATGTGGACATTGGAACAAAATCGATTACTGATTACTGAGCAACATTGATTTAGGCAGAATCGATCAACGGCTGATAACATTCTGGAACTCAAAAGCGATATTATGGACTCGTTTGCAACTAATAGAAAATGTACCGCGATATTTTTTGACTTAAAAAATGCTTTTAATACTGCCAAGAAACACAGGATTCTAAAAACGTTGAATGAGTGGAATATCCGGAGACACTGTTTATCGTTCATCGACAATTTTTTAACCAGTCGGACTTTTGGCGTAAGAGTTTCCAATTCGTGTTCGAAAACTCACTGCTTAACAAATGGAGTACAACAAGAGTCTATTCTAAGCCCAACACTCTTCCTAATAGCGATTAATGATATTTTGAAAAACATAGAAAAACGTTTAAAAGCACGGATTTATGCTGACGATTTAATGGTATTTACAAAAGGAAAAAAATATAGATAGTATGACAAAATGTTTATAAAACTTTATCAATAAACTGCAAACATGGTCTCTGAATACTGGCTTTGAAGTTTCTACAGTAGTTTCTACTACAAAAACAAGAGTCATGGTTTTTGCAAAACCAGTAAATGTAAGTACTGCGTCAAATCTTACATTATACATGAAACCAATAACAGTAGATCCTCATATTAAATTTTTAGAAATGCATTTAGACAAGAAACTGACATGGCGAGAACATATATAAGAGAATAGGGAAATATTTTAAAAACATTATCAAAACGGAAATGGGGTTCCGACCAAAATACAATTTTATCAGTATACTTATCGTTAATCAGGTCCAAACTCGATTATGGATACATCGCTTATTGTTCTGCCAGAAAGTCTATTTTAAAATCGCTAAATACAATTCATAATAATGGTCTTAGAATTACCCTATAACCATTTAGAAGTCATCATCATCATTAGCCATTTTGCGTCCACTGCTGAACATAGGCCTCCCGTAAATAATTCCATTGCATCCGATCTTGAGCAACTTGAATCCAGTTAGACTGGATGCGCTTTAAATCGTCCGACCACCTTGTTGGAGGACGTCCTCGACTACGATAAGCATCGTGTCTAGGCCTCCACTCTAAAATTTTCTTTGTCCATCTTCCATCTCTGACCCTAGCAACATGTCCTGCCCAGTTCCATTTCAGGGTTGTAATTCTTTCAACTGCGTCCGTCACACCAGTTTTTCTCCTTACTATCTGACTCGAAACTCTGTCCCTGAGTGATACGCCCAACATTGACCTCTCCATCGCTCTCTGTGCCACTTGTATCTTATTAATTACTTTTCTGGTAAGTGTCAATGTTTCTGGTCCATATGTCAGAACTGGAAGTACACACTGATCAAAAACTTTACTCTTCAAGCACATGGGAATAGCTGATTTAAAGACTTCCCTCAGTTTTCCGTAAGCTGCCCATGCCAGTCCTATTCTCATTTTTAACTCTGTTGTTTGATTGTCTCTTCCCAATTTAATCTCGTGGCCCAGATACTTATAGGAATACACTTGTTCAATTTGCGTGCAATTAGTGGAAATGTTTTTTGCCAGTACCAGGTTGGTCATGTATTGTGTTTTGGAAAAATTAATTTTAAGGCCAACTCGTGCACAAGAGCTCTGAAGGTCTTGAAGAAGTTGGCATGCATGATCTACCTGATCTGCAATAAGGACTATGTCGTCTGCAAACCTCAAGTTGTTCAAAAATTCCCCATTTATATTTAATCCAATATGTTCCCAATTATTTTTTCTCATAGCACTCTGTAATAGGGCGGTGAATAGTTTAGGAGAGATAGTGTCTCCTTGCCTAATACCTTTCTCCAAGGGAAATGTGTCTGTGTCACCATAGTACATTTTTACAGCAGCTGTTGCGCTATCATATATATTTCGAAGAAGAGTTGTGTACCTATGATCAATACTGCACTCTGTAAGAGCTCTTAACATGGAGCTATGCTGGACTGAGTCAAATGCTTTCTCAAAGTCTACAAATATTAATATCAATGGCTTGTTGTATTCTATAACTTTCTCTATCAAGGATTTTGTTACTTGTAGGTGGTCATTTGTTCCAAAGCCACTCCTAAATCTGGCCTGCTCTAGAGGTTGATGAAAATCTAGCTTAGGTCCCAGTCTGTTAGTAATTATTCTCATAAAGAGTTTATATAAATGAGATAATAAGTTGATAGGTCTGTAGTTGCCAATTTCTGTTACATCTCCTTTTTTATGCAATATTATCATAATGGCATTATTCCATTTTCTGGCGTATTTCCTTCAAAGAGGCAGGCATTATAAAGGATTTTTAAAGCCTTTATGACGCATTCGCCTCCTAGATTTATCATTTCACTTACAATGCCATCTTCTCCAGGTGTTTTGTTGTTCTTCATACCTTTTAATGCTGACTTAATTTCCTCTTCGGTTATATCTGGAAGTTCCTCTGACCCTTGATTTAGTATTGCTGGAATTTCTACTTCGGGAATGTGATCATCTCGACTATATAATGTTCTATAGTACTCTTCGATGATTTTTAGTATCTCTTGTTGTTCATGTATGACATGTCCTTGATTATTTTTTAACTTATAAATATTCCTCGTTCCTATTTTCAACTTTCGTTTTAGAACTTTTAGGCTTTTGTTTTGTTCTACGGTATCAGTTATTTCCTTAGTGTTAAAGTTCCTTATGTCTTTCCTAATGGCTTTTGAAATGGTTTTGTTTAAATTCCTTAGCTCTGCAATGTTCGTTGTATGCTTTTCTTTCATTTCCCTTCTTTTTTGCATTAGGTTTCTTGTGTCTTCTGTGAGTTTTTCATTTTTTGTTGAGTGCTTGGCTTGGCACTTCTTCTGTGACTTGTTCAGGGCTTCTACCAATTTTTCGTTAAGCTGTTCAATACTGGTTTCATCTTGCAGGTCTTTCTGTAGATTACTCTCTATTTCTAGAGACTTAGAAGTACACCTATTGAAAGCATATACGCTGAACTTGGTGAGCCATCCCTTTCTATCTATCTATCTAATCAGCTTTCAACGCCCACCCTTGGGCATAGGCCTCTCCTGTTAATCTCCATAGGTCTCTATTTTGGGCGATCTGCATCCAGTCCTTTCCTGCCGTTCTCTTAAGATCGTCAGTCCATCTCATCTGTGGTCTTCCTCTTTATCATCTGGTCATCTCTTTACCACAGGCGAATGCAACTGACATTAACACATTCATGCTCGATATATTGTAATCCAGAAAAACCTATTTACAAATAACACCCTTACAGATAAATATATTGAACTTTTTAATTATAATAATAAACTAAGAAAACCATACTATGAAAGAATTAGAACATATTATAAGAAATTAAATTTTGATTTTCCTGACATATTTGATCCAAATATCGCTGAACCTTATATCCCTTGGTCAATCAATATTCTACAGTGTAATGTATATTTAAGCAAATATAATAAGTCGGAAATACGTCCCACAGAAATAAAAAACTATTTTGTCAAAGATACTTCAAACTAAAATTTTTTCAAAATATTTACAGATGCTTCAAAATCTAGCAATGGAGTTGATGCCACTTTTGTGATCAGCTCAACTAAATATCAATTTTAACTATCTCCCCACTGTAGCATATACACAGTCCGAATTATTAGCTCTTTATCGAGCAATTAAGTTTATTAATGATACCAACATCGTCAAAGCGGTGAATCTTTCTGATTCTCTGAGTTCGATTACTTCAATTCAACGAGTATATCCTAAAGACCCAAATAGTTTAAAAATAGTTAAAAACTTTTGTCTTGAAAATAATAAAAAAAAACTATACAAATAATATTCTAAAAATCGCATCTTGTTGATTATATTAACAAATCTAAATTATTTACCTGAGTAAACATTGGGACGCAGTATTTAAATCAACTCCAACAAAACTAACGCATTCAGACACGACTTCGTCTAGAGCTTCTTCAAGAGTCTTTTTCTTTAGATCATGTTGATACATTCCAACTCCTAAGTGTTTGGGTTCGACTTTTACTAATTCAGCTAGAGGGTCTTGAATTCTTCTTGCCAATGATACTAAAATACATACATTATGCTTTACCACTATCTCGTATTTCACGATATAAGAACTAACTGTAAGCTCTTGGAGTCGTCACCTTTAATGCGTCACCTCAAATGGAAAATTCGATTCGAAGGTGACAATGTTAAATATATGAACAATTTTTTTTTGTTTTTTAGATGTTCTTTGAATGTAACAAAATATTACGGTAAAATAATAGTTATTTATATTTATTAACACAGTTATTTAAATAAATTAATTATGAAATAGTAACTCATTATACAGGCATGTATCTTTAACAAAAATATCTGTATCTATTGTACAATATTGCAATGTACTATATGTACAATTATTTATAATACAATACAATTTATATTCAAAAACTGAAATATGAACACAAATTATACGCTTAAACTGTATAAAGAATGTTAAGTTTTAGAGTAAATAAATAGGTCCAATAATTCTGACTTTTTGAATCGTTAATTATGTGTCAATGGTCAGATCTAGGTGCCAGCAAATCACAATTTTGAATAGCAGCAGACAGTTCATACAATCGATTGTTAAAGTTCCAGGAAGACATGACACTTGAACTAGAAGAAGTATAATACCTTTATAATAATACTAATAATATGTTAACTTCTTTAATGTTGCTTACATACCTGCACTAATAATATTAGTATCCATGTCTGGAAATTCTTTTTTGGCTTCTGCGCTGCATGAATAAACTGAAGCGCCATCTTCAGTCACAATGGTATACTTAACATCTTTAGGATGGAAATATTTATTCCTTATTAAATGGGACAACCATTCTTCCGTCTGTTTACTGGCTTTACCATCACCAAGGCCTATCAATGAGCAACTACAAAGACAAGAATCTAGGCTTAGAAATAAAAATAGAAAATACAATATACAATATTGACATAAAAAATAAGGTGCGATAACAACCGTTAAAAGATTAAATAAAGTGAATTGGATTCACACTAAATGCTATAGCTAATACCAAAAGCTATAGCGAAAAACAAAACTAGAAGAGAAATACATATGATCAACAATACACTACGTACATTAAATTTTTAAAAGTAGAAACTTCAAACAGGCTATGATTTAGCCAGTATTAAGTCATTATGATTTAGCCAGTCTAGACCAGAAGTATGGGATATAGACAAAAATATACCACAAAAGCTTCAGCTGACTAAATTGACTTACTGATCGTTACAAAAAATCATTGCATAATTCTTATCAGTCGTGTTTCAGCTTGTTATGAGCTAGGGCTTTCTTTAGAACGCGTGTTCCTCTTCGCGTTTCTCACTTCGATTTCGATGTTATTTTTATCTAACCTGTGTGGTTCGAACTGGAAGACGTTCTAAAGGGAATGACAATTTAATTTTTTTTTGCGACATAATATTTGCATATTAATGTTTACATGACACGTTATAGAAAAATAGACATTTAAATCAAAATATTTATTTATTTCACATTACCAGATAAAAATGAAAAGAAATGAAAAAATAGTTTCACATAAACTTTGCCAAATACATACATATCTGCAACAATAAAACACTGAAAACATTGTTTCCAGAAAATTTATTATAAAATCTTATTACTACAGCTGTTTCAGCTGATTGACTTTCTTAACTGATCTATTTTTGGCATATTGTTCTGAAGCTATTTTCTTGTGGCATTGTAAATTAATTACTATTAAACTGGGAATAAGCCACAATTAAAGATAAAAATACGTTTATTGACGTTTCAATTTCCACTTCGGAAATCGTTCTCAAAATACCAACAGTAAATTAAACAAATTTTGTTTTTTGTTACATAGTGAAAAATTCTTCTAATAATTTAATTTTATCTGACTCATTTATATTGACAATTCAGACATACATTATGAATTTTAAAGTAGACGACTTTAAAATGATATTGCCAATATTGTTGAGTTGCGCTCCTGGGACGACTTTACTTATAAGATAGTTCATTCGATTACATGAAATCAACTTTAACTTGAGAATATCCGTCAGAAAAAAATCATAGCATGTAATTCGTCTTTAAAAAGACAAACATATGACATGATGACAGTAAAATTCTCCTGTTAGTGATTCCATTGTAAATTATGAGGGAAAAAATTATGGGATAATGAACATAGGGTTCAATGGAATAATTCAAATGTAGTCCTAAAAGAAACGGATGGTAAAAAAAGAAAAATCAAAGAAGCGGCTCTAATTATGCTAAATGAGGCCAATTGTGTCGCAAATTCCTCGGCAGAATGTAGTAGGATCTGGTTACCAATATTGAAAGAGGAAGTTATTAATAAGAAAATACCAGTATTAGTAAGTCAGTAACATATAGAGGATACATCATTACCGATACACGACCAAATACTTACAATGTCGGGATAGTATTATGAAGTTTTTTTTTCCTGGTTTTTCCCTCATAATTTACTATGGAATCACTAACAGGAGAATTTTACTGTCATCATGTCATGTGTTTGTCTTTTTAAAGACGAATTACATGCTATGATTTTTTCTGACGGATATTCTCAAGTTAAAGTTGATTTCATGTAATCGAATGAACTATCTTATAAGTAAAGTCGTCCCAGGAGCGCAACTCAACAATATTGGCAATATCATTTTAAAGTCGTCTACCTTAAAATGCATAATGTATGTCTGAATTGTCAATATAAATGAGTCAGATAAAATTAAATTATTAGAAGAATTTTTCACTATGTAACAAAAAACAAAATTTGTTTAATTTACTGTTTGTATTTTGAGAACGATTTCCGAAGTGGAAATTGAAACGTCAATAAACGTATTTTTATCTTTAATTGTGGCTTATTCCCAGTTTAATAGTAATTATTTTTGGCATGTGTTTATACTTTGTAGTCTTTAATGAAATAGGTTAATGAGGGAAGAACCGTTTATCTCAAGTTGGTCATTCAGAATTATATCTGTGTTCTTTAATTTATTAATTTCAATAAATTCTAACAAAGATAAGTTAAGGATTTTATTTTGAATGCGGAGAATTTTAAATTCGTCATTAAAAGAATGATTATAATCTAGAAGGTGAAGTGCGTATGTAGAATCTGTTTTTCTATTATTGAAAGCCCTTTTATGTTCTGCTATTCGTTTATTAAAGTTTCTACCAGTTTGACCGATGTAAGTTTTTGGGCAGTAGCTACATTTAAGTTTATATACGCCACTGTGTAAGTGCTTTTTATTTTGACTCTTATTGTTTCTAATGTATTTAAGTTGTTATTTGTTCTGAAAGATGGCGTTATTCCTTTCTTTTTTATGTGTTTGGATATTTTTGTTGATATTTTGCCTGTACATGTAATCGTGCAGAAGGTACTGGGTTTTTTTTCTGGTAGTGGAAATACAATGTCAGGGCTTTCTTGTGTAGTTTTTGATTTAAAATTTTATTAATTGTTTGTTAGTTGTATCCATTGTTTACTGCTATTTGCTTAATGATATTTAAGTCTGTCTCAAAGTTGTATTTTGATATCGGAATTTATGTTAATCTATGTAACATACTATGATAGGCTGCCAGTTTATGTTGTGTTTAATGGGATGATGAATTGTGTATAGTCGTTTCAGTATGGGTAGGTTTATAAAATATGGACAAGTCATGTTTGTTTTTAAGTCTGATAATTTTTAAATCTAAAAAAATTATGGATTGATGTTTTTCTGTTTAAAGATGATGTCTAAAAAATTTCGTCGTTGAAAGCATTCGGTCGTTATAAGTGTAGTCGTAATACACGCATGTCTTTTCATATTGACTTATATTAAAACCAAATATTCTCTCTCAAGGACGTCGAAAAGCAACGCGAATCAGCTGCTTTTGATTGTTCTGCAAAACAACATTTTCGTTTTTCTGACCATTTTGGTCTGTATTGCTTCTGATTAGTTTGCTCTGGTCTTATATCCCACTTACCTACTTCGTGTCTGAAGGTGTCTTTCTCTGCTTCGTTTATATTTGCGCTTTTGAGGTCTTCTCAAATTTCAATTAACCAGTGAGTTGGTTGTTTGAGTGGAGTTATGTACTCCAGTATTTTTTTGTTAGTCTATTTACTAGTAGTATTTTCAGGTGCCCTAAAAAATATTATACGTCTTTCCTGAGGTTAATTTCATGTCTTTTCCTGATGTCAATTTCTATGTTTGAGATTTTTTCAGCTGTTTTGTTCGATTGTAGTTTATGTAGTCTTTTGTTTGTCTAGCACCAATGATTTTTCTAATTATTTTCTTTTTTATGTATTCCACTTCATATTTTTTGTTGAGGGTGTGTTTCTCACTTCCATATAAAAAAAAGGATTTGATCGTAGCTGATTTTAGTGTTCTTTGATATGGATTTCTTGTTGTATATGTTTTTGTCATCTCTAGGGCTTTTTTAGCTTTTTTCAGCCGGTAATTTTGTGGTGTTCTTTCTTCCCCTGTAGGTACAATAAATTCCCCAAAATATTTAAAATGCGGTACTCTGTCAATTTTTTTCATATTTTGTTTTTAATTTATCGGTATCGATCCGATTGTTAATCAATTTCGTTTTTTCGAAGAAAATTTGTAGGCCCACTTTTTACCGGATTTTTTTAGTGTTTCAATATGTATGCGTTCCTCTTCTGTTACTACTGCTAAATCAACTGCAAACGCGAGATGAGGTATGTGAGGGTTAGTTTTGGTGGTTCCGAGTGTAATTGGTTTCCAAAGGTTTTCTTCGCGTAGTTTATTTGCCAGTCATCCATAACTTTGTCCAACGCAATGTTAAAAAACAGCAATGGTGACAATCCATCTCCAGTGAAGATCCCATGAATTTCTTCTTAGATTTTATGTTTGTTAGTGTTTGCTCTATGAGTCTTCTTGTTTTGTGATACAGCCCTTTTTCTCCTAGTAGACACAGGAGTGATTCTCAGTCTATCGAATTAAAAGCCTTTTTAAAATCGACGGATGCAAATCGATAACTTGCATCTTAATGCTCCCATTTTAAATATTTTTTTAAGTTCAATCTGAGCCCGATTTGTTCGGACTGAATTCGGCTTGATATCCGGCTAAACTTGGTTCTATTTGTTCTTGTGTTCTTTTTCGGAGGCAGGCAGAGAGAATTTTGCATGTAACTGCTAAAAGACAAATTTCTCTGTAGTTATTAACATATGTTCTATCACCCTTCTTATGCAATATATGGATCAAGGCAGTTTTCCAGTCGTCTGGAATTTCTCTCCTCCATATTTCTTGTATAATTTTTGTTATTTCTTCTAGTAATTTTCTGTCTAAATATTTTGAAACCGTTCTTGGAGAGTAAGCAGTCATCAACGTTTGTAGAAATGTATGTTGTATTTTAATTTAGAGATGACTGTTGTGTCTAATATTTCCATTACTAAGTTTACCAGATTACTAAATAGTAATTATTTTCATTTTGAAAGAACGTTGAGCTGAGGCAGAATTTTACACCCTCTAGAAATTCTTTAACTGGAACGGAAGTATGTGTTTGGATGTTATTCCATCTAGTTTTGACACAATTTAAAGATATTTCAATTAGGATGTTAGTGTATAATGATTTTACGTCGAAAGAAAGTTTGTGATTGATAGATAGAGACTGTTTTGAAATAAAATTGTGAAAATCCCATGAATCCTGAATATGATAGTTGCTTTTACCGACTGCATTAACCAAAATGTACGAAAAATATTTGGAGGGGTTGTATGTTGGACTTGTTGGAGGAGAGGATGCCTCTGGCTCTTCTGATACCACCCAACATGTAGCTTCGTCGTTTTCAATAATTTTTAAACTGTTTGTCCTTGTGTCGTGTTGTGTCAATGTACCTTTTAATGTTTATGACATTTGATTGCCAATTGATTAAAATTAATCTGTATGTAGTTTGAAAACGAGTGAATAAAGATAGAGAATAAAGGAGATACGACCAGATGAAGCTCGCTTTATGAGAATAGGTGAGTTATAGATGACTGTAAACTCGAAGGAAAACCCAAATTAGAATAGCAGATAGCGCGTAGAATTATCGATTATCGGTAAAAATTGAAGTGCGAGGACGGGAGAATTAAAGGCAAAAGGAATAAAAGAACAAAAACAAAAACTAGGAACTGTAACATCTAAACACACATCATGCTACTGAACTAATAAACATTAAACTTATTATATAAAAGAAATAAGAAAACTTACTCGTGTCGATCCAGCAAATCTTTTAAAATAGTCTTACTCTTATCCCTATTGTCTTCAGACACGGAATGCGGAAAAATAACGCCTTGGTCCAAAACTTTCCCCGTTGAAGATATCAGTGCAAGTTTACAACCGTGGTGATAGCCTGGATCTATTCCCAAAATTCTTTCTCCTTTTATTGGTGCTGCTAATAAAATCTGTTTTAAATTTTTGCTGAACACTTCGTAAGACGCTTTTTCGGCCATTGTTTTTAGTTCCGATCGGACTTCTCTAACCATAGAAGGCAAAACTAAAAAAATAGTCTACAATAGATAAACAATATTTATTATTATGATTGACATTATAAAAACTAGTTATTGACAGTCATTAACATTTGCATATTCCTAATATTCTAATTGCATATTTATGTCAAGAATATCACTTTACTGTTACTAGATGACATGCACAATTATATGCTGTGAAGTTTACTAGATATATTGCTAACTGTGTCATTTAATCTTTCCACAACATCCACCCAGCTGCTGCCGAACAATAGAGAGCAACATAAAGAGCATAATGTGTCATCAGGATATTATCTGGCACACATAGTGATGATTATGTTAAATAACACTTGACTCAAGGGATAGCCCTGAGCTAGACCAAAATTGTCTTGAGTTATTGATTCTATGAGATTAACAAAGACAAGACCGCAGACAAACACCGAACGATTTAACATAACCGATTAATAAATTCGAAAATTGGTCATGGCAACTTAATATCTCTTAAAGCATCTCATAATTGGATATTAGATAGTTTGTCATATGCCGAAGAAATGTCTAACCGAGGAGTTAGGAGTTAGCATCCTTTTTGGAATATTCATTAAAATGTTAGTATCCAGACGAATAACATTCTTGGTCACTCCTCTGACTTGATAAAAACTAGTTTGGAATGATGAATCGATGATGTTCTGCATACCAATGTGACCTTATTTTTATAATGTCTAAAAGTTTACACATGAAAATATTGCAAATGACTTCCAACCTAAAAGAACATTTATATGAATATTAAACATTCTGCAATTTCCATTGTATTGGAATATACTTTCTTTCCTAAGACCAAAATTGAGTAAAAAATTATTAGTGAATTTCATAAATATCATAAAAATGAAGAATAGAGAGCTGAAAAAACATAACACAAGAAAAAATAACACAACAAATGACATACTTATAACGCGAGAAAACGGTGAAGTAGAGTGCGCCCATAGTAGCATTATCCCTACTTGTCAGATGACACCGAAAAAAAAAAAACTTGAGAGATTACAGACTTCCGAAATCAGAGTACAAACGTGGAATCAAAATATAGTAACGTGGTGCCGACTATTTAAGTCTTTTTAAGCAAGTACCTTATCATTTTGTGATCTCTCAACAACTGAATAATTAACAAATCACTCTATGCTCTCATGTTTAACCTATTAAAATAAATTCTAGAAAATGCTGGTTAAATTTTGCTGGTTTAAATTCACACTTGTTTTGTGGTATAAAAATACATAGTTACAGCTTAAAAAAAAACTGTCGTCAAAATGTATGTACTAGCATAACGTTTTCGATTTGAACAGATCATCCTCAGTGCCTTATGTAATTGAAGCCAACAATAAAGTTATCGCTGACACCTCCATATATCCATATATGGGTTTCTTCTTCTTCTGGTTCCTATCCGTTTCGGATGTTGGAAATCATATTGGCAATCATAACCTTGCTCGCTGCGGCTCGAAGCAGCTCCGTTGAGGTTTTCTAAAACCATGTTCTTAAATTCCGCAGCCATGATATTCTCTCCTTCTACCGGGTCCTCGCTTACCATTGACTTTACCTTGCAATATAGACTGTAGCAGGGAGTAATGGTGCTGATTTCTCATAACGTGTCCCAGATATTGCAATTTTATGATTGATCGTAAACACAATCTCTGGTTCCTTCTTCATTTTTCCTAGAACTTCCTTGTTCGTGATCCTTGCTGTCCATGATATTCTCAGCATTCTTCTATAAAGCCACATCTCAAATGCTTTAAGTTTTTTAATAGTGGTGTCTGTAAGCGTCCATGCCTCCGCCCCGTACAACAACACAGAGAAAACATAGCATCTCAAATGTCTCATTTTTGTATCAAGGGATATGTTGTGACTTTTGAAGATGGCGCTCATTTTGTTAAAGACCGTTCTTGTCTTTCCTATGCGGCACTTTATTTCCTGTAAATTGCTCCACTGTTCGTTGATAATAGTTCCCAGGTAACAATACTATTTTACTCGCTCTATCTGCGTCCCATTAATGTATAGATGAGTCCCATTTCTATTCTCCTTGCTGATAATCATTTGTTTCGTTTTGTGGGTATTAATGTTTAGTCCGTTCTGTTGACTGTACTCGTTTATTCTGTCCATTAGCCTCTGAAGTCCCTCTAAACTATCTGCTATCACCATGGTGTCGTCGGCATATCTAACATTGTTTACTCTTTCACCATTTAGAAGGATACCTTCGTCTATTCTGTAAAGAGCCTCGTTAAAAATTTTCTCTGAGTACATATTAAATATCAACGGCGATAGGATACATCCCTGTCTAACTCCACGTAGTATTTTTATGTGATCTGTTTCTTCTCCGTTAATTTTCATGTGTGCGGTCTGATTCCAGTAGAGTTCTGAAATTATTCTGAGGTCTTTGTCATCCAGGTCTGTCTCTTTTAAAATGTTTATCATTTTTTGATGTTGAACTCTGTCAAATGGCTTTTCATAGTCGATCAAGCACGCGTATACGTCGCAGTTAACGTCCCTGCATCTTTGAATCAGTACCTGTACTCCGAAAAGTGCCTCTCTGGTACCCACAGCGTTAATGAAGCCGAACTGTCTGTCCGATATTTGTTCCTCGCACTTCTTATAAATTCTTCCATGGATGACTCAAAGAAACAGTTTCAACATGTGGCTCATTAGGCTGATTGTTCGATATTCTTCGCACTTTTTAGCCCCCTGTTTTTTAGGTATCGCTATGAATTCTGATTCTAGCCATTTATCAGGATTCAGCTTCGATATTATCAGGCCCTACAGCTTTCCTGCTTTTCATGCGTTTTATTGCGTCTTCTACATCGGATTTAAGTATGTCCGGGCCCGTCATCCTCTCTGAAAATGGATGCCTATAATCCGTTCTTTGGTCTTGAAAAAGTGTCTCCAAATATATTCTCCATCTGTCTTTCATCTCTTGGGTGTCAATGATTAATTTTCCATTGGTGTCTATGAGTTTCATTTGTGTTCGCTTTTTAAAAGTACCCGTTATTTCTTTTACCTTTTTGTGTACATTAAAATTGTCATGCTTGGCTTGTAGTCTTTCTATTTCTTTACATTTCTCTACAGCTTCTTTTTCTTTAGCTTCTCTTATTTTTCTTCTGATGTAAGCCTGCATTTTTTTATACTCATCTTTATTTCCTTTAATTAACCTTCTGCGTTCCATTAAATGAAGGATTTCTGGAGTCATCCAAGATTTCTTCTTTGTTTCTTTGTTTGGTTTTAGCAGATCTTGTTTAGTTTTCTTAATTATTTCTTCGAATTGATTGATTTCTCGTTGGATGTTATTTTCTTCTTTTAGTTGTTTAACTTGGTTGTATATGGGTTTACATCATTCCAAATATTAAATTTTAATTATGTTGTGACTCTAGGTCGATGACAATGGATACATTTTTTATTACTTTAGGGACTACATGTCTCCCTGCTCGATTTTTAACACGTGGTACTTGTCAGTTAAAACGACACAGACCAACTAGCTTAGGTGACAGGAATATAATTTAAGAGGACAGCTGAACGTGACTAGGTAAAGGTGTGTTCCGAGACTAATGTAATTTTTTAATTGTAAAATTATAAAATTTATTTTGTTGTAATAATAACTAATATCTTATTAACGATCCTTAGTTAAAATTAAATTTGTTTAAATGATAAAATTTATTGCCTTAAATCAGTAAATCTCTATTATTGAAAAAGAAATGAACTATTAAAGCACTGAAATTAATGTTTAAGGTTGAATTTATGACATCATAAGTGGTAAGAAAATGATAAAAGTAGAAAATGAAAGGCAGTGATGTGGTATAGGCCGGTTATATTTATTTGAGAAATTTGCGATAGGCAGCGGTATGACCAGTTGAAGACCAGGATAGGACCTACATGAAATATAATATGGTATATTTTATAAGACATTGGTTCTATAAATTTGTATTGTTATAAACAAAGCTTAGTTTTATGTATTGATGATTTTGTGTAAGTTTAAATTACATTAATCATATTTCTACAATGCATTTTTTATAAAATGTTCCAAACAATAATTGGTTTGTATACAAAAACTAATTAATAATTGAGCGAACGGTTGGTAGTGAAAGATAAAAAATATATTTATTTAAATAATTTATAAGACCTTGGAATAAAAATTAAGAGTTTATCTAGTCAACACTTACTTACATTATTATTTTCTCTTAAGAACTGATTTTCAAAGATATAGATATTACAACAATAAGTGAAGTTTTCTTAAAATAAGGCCATGTTTTTCTTAAAAAATTGAAGCACTAGGTTGGTGTTGAATATATGTCGATAATCCCTACACTTGATTATGTAAGAAAATATTCCGGGTGAGCTCAGTATTGAGAGAAAGTTGTCTTGGTATTACACTTCGTCACTTTCTTCCTCTGAATCATTGTTCTCCACATTGATAATAATTTTATTTAGATCAGGAATGTTTTTAACATATTCTTTTTCGATATTTTTTACGTGCTATATTGCTTATTTCCAGTTATCCTCAGAGATATTTTTAAATTCAGAATCTATTACTTTCACGACAGTGTTATAACATTTTGGACTTTTTTTTCTCACATTATATTTCAGTTGAGACCATAACAACTCTATTGGATTTAAAACGCAGTAATATGGTGGTAGTCTTAAAGTTGTATGTCCAGTTCAGACTTGCTGCATCATCAAATATTCCTTTACAAATAGTTTTGTATTAAGTACCTATACTAATTGGTCTTTAGTGTACCAATCTTCAAAATATAAATCTTGTGATAATAAAAAATCTTGCAATTCATCCTTTCTAGAGTATTTATTCGGAATTTTTTTAAGTTGTCTAGAATGATACGATGCATTATCTACAACAATAACACTGTTGTCTGGTAAATTTGGTAATAAGTTATTTTTAAATCACGATTCGAAAAGTTCACCCGTGATATCTTGGTGATAGTCCAAACAACTGTCTTTAATGTCTTTTGCACTTAATAGTAAGCCATCGGTTACCCAACCG